CTGTTCTATATCCTGTAGATGTTTGTAGTGCCTAGCTATTGCAGGAGTAGCTATTTCTCGCTTTGAGATAGGAATTTCATTGCATTCAATCAGAGATGGACACTTCAGTTGTGTAGTGCCATCCAAAGATTCGAGTATGTACCCTGTAGTACGACGACCATGTTGAACAGTTTTTCCTGAGCAAGACGCTAGCATGTATTCGACTGGCTCTGTGGTTTCATTGAAATGATCTATAAATGTTGAACAGGCTAAGGACCTATTACTCTGATCATCGATGATCGCATAAGTAGTAACGCTTACTTCTGGTTTACCTTCTGGATAAACCTTGACTAATAGTGTCTTTGCACAAGACTTTCCTTGGAAAGAAGTAGGATCAGCAGAGTCATCACAAATTTCAGTACATTTTGTACTTATTTGATCTGGCGTTTGATTTTCAACTTGTCTTTCCCCGCCATTATTTTCACGGGTTTGACGTTCAAAATGAAATGCTGTACAGTGTGCCGTTTTTCCACACTTCTCACATTTTATGTTTGCTTTGCAATCTTTAGCTAAATGCTTTCCATTTAAGCATTTGAAACAAATTCCATTTTTCTTTACAATCTCTCTTCTTTCTTCCAACGGTTTCTCAACAAATACTTTACAGTCGGCAAGGTTGTGTTTGCCATTTTCGTGAATAAGACATTTTAAGTTCAGATTAGCCGAAGTGTTCTGTCTTTCAATTGATGTTTTCAAAACAGTTTGACCGGGAGTCCTTTTCCCAGCATATTTCCGTTCCACTTTTTTGTCTCGTCCACTATCTGATTGTTGGATTTTAAGGCTTGGATCATTCATTCGCACTGCCATGCTGTGTAAGAATTCCACAAACGTTGAAAAAGGCGGATACATCACAGAATGTTGTGTTTTGTACCTACTAGCACGATCCATCCATTTTGTTTGGATGAAGTTTGGCAACTTTCCTACGATTGCATTCACCCCATATGATGAATCATAAAATGATAGGACTGTCCTGTATATATCATTTTCTTTAATTGATTCTACCTCAGCCAATAAGTCATATAATTCATAAAGTTTGTCATATTCTGTATTGTTGATTTTTTTAAATTGATCAAGGCGATCCTTGATTGCTGCTGCTATACTTTCTGGCGCCCAATATCTTTCATCCAACCTTTGCCAAATCTTAACAACAGCTTGATTTTCGTTGTGGGAGTTAGCAACTCTCAGACTTGCTGCATGTCGTTTTGACTGTGGGCCTAAGTACCTGTTTAAAAGATCTAACTGTTCTGAATCTGTTGCATCCAGTTCTCTAAGTATGTTAATAAAGCTATTTTTCCAACTGCAATATCGTTCAGGTTTGTCATCGAATGTCGATAATCTTGAAATCAAAAGATCTTTCTTCATAATATACCTAGTTAAGTCCATAACACCTGATGATGGATAAAACTTAGTTGGTTCCGTTGTATTTTGAGGTGCACAACCTTTAACATTTGATTGAATTTGTTTAGTGATTGGTTGAATTACAACATTGTCCTTAGGTATGAACTCCTTAACAGTTGGATTGAGACTGTGACCAACAACTTTATCTGTTTCGACTAGTTTCATTTTGTTTACATCGAGTATCTGATTGTTAACATAGTTTTGGACAATTTCTGATGGGCTTGATTGAGGTAGATCAAGACCTTGGTCCTTCAAATTGTTATCAATAGCATTTTCCTCCTCTAAAAGTTCCTTAACTGCTGTTAATTCCGCTTCGGCTTCTGCAATCTCTCTTTTATGTTTCAAAATGTTTAAGTTTGATTTAAGTTCCGATCTTTGTTTTTGGATTTCTAATTCTAACTCATTTTGTTTCCTTACTAATTCCTCTTCCTCTTCTATGAATTTAAGTTTTGCCTTGGCAGCTTCGGCTCTAGCTGCTTTGTCTAGAAGAATTGCCTTGCTTGAGTGACTTCCCTGACTAGAATGACTGTGAGTGCAATTTGAAGAACGACCTCCATCACTACCTTTAGCTTTATGACTAGAACGAGAATGTGACTTATGTCCTTGAATGTTATGACTAGAATTGCCTTGATCATGTAAAAAACTATGAAGACTAGAATGATGAACTGGACTCCCATTCCTAATTGTTAATTGAGGCTCATCCTCTTTGACTAGATGTGCAGTTGTGCTATTCTCTGTTTCAATCTTGGTACTATGACGTGTTTGCTCATCAATGTATTTAATTGCCTGATCTACTTCTTTAGCTATTGTTTGAAACACAGATTTTTGTACTAATAGTTCACTATTACTTTGTTCCGTATTTTGAGGTGCCAAGTATTCACAGAACTCCTTACAAAGTTTATAATAATTGTTAAGTACTTCCACAAGAGTTTCTTTAACCTGTCCTAGAACATGTATATCTCCTGTTTGTTCCTCCAGATAGGTTAATGATTCCTCGACTGCTTGTCTTTTTTCTAATAGTTTATTATGATAAACTTGAACCCTTTCTTTATAGTTTTCCATTGCCTTAACTGTAAGTGTTCTCAGCCGTTTTGTTTCTACATCATCTGGCGTGTCCATAATATGCTGGTCCAATCGTCAGACTTTTTACTGTAATGCCTAATGACTAACAAAATGTTTCTTGTAATTCTTTATTTCACTACAAACTTCCCAGGAGAAGGTAAAAAGCTACAAAAAAATAAACAATCATAAGTAATTGTTCCTAAGTTATTTCTTAACATGTATTGTAATTAAACATAATACAAGTAATGCAAAACAATGAATAAATCACTTATTATGCTTTAAATGTTCAAAACAAACAAGAAAAATATATTTCTCAAATTTATCAATTTGCTCCTAAATGCACCTTTGTGTCCAGGTGAGCAGAATTTGTAGTTGCAACATGTTCGGTTCACAACAAGGCCAAAGTAAAAGATAACATCAACAATAACAAAATTAATCACACTAATAATATGTCCTAAGCGGATTGTCGTTGACATAGACTAAGTTTTACTATATCCTAGGCCTAGATAATAATAAATGTTCTATTTAAAGTCGCAAAATACTCCAAATGTGCACGGATGCACGAAAGTTACGAGAAGAAGTTTCTCTGTTCAATTAGCCATTTCTTTAGTACGAAAAGTTCCAATTACACAGTATCGAAAAATATACATGATATGTGCCTAATCCTAATATCTTAACTGATATGAAAAATATCTAACAATACACAAATGTACGAAAAAGTAGCAAATTATTTCAACACAAATGCATATAAAAAAATGCAGACAACCAAGTGGCTTATGAATTGGCACAAAACCTTAATAATAAGAATCTATAACACAAAACTTATCTACATACAAATAAATGAGTATATCAGGCAGGTAATAAAACTTACTCTGTGGGGGACCACTAGATTTCCAAATAATGAATTATTCCCAAAATTGCTTTGCGGCTCTTGCGGGCCATGTGCCATTTTCCTTTCTATCTACTCGGGTCTTATCGATTCATGTAATCTAGGGGAGTGAAACATACCGAAAATTAACCAAAAATGAAATGTGGGGAAAGGAAGATAACTCTACTAAATAAATGTGACAGAACAAAATAATATTGTATTATAAGTGTATTTTATAACTTAAAAATTATTTATAGAAAGCAGGTAAGTTCATAAAGATCGCATTAAATATTAGTGTGTACATCCAACATGGCGACCAAGGAAAACACAATGGGAAGAATAAAAGAATGATTGCATATGCATACAAAGGGAAAAGCTATGAAATTAAAATATTAAATAATGTACTGTATATACAGAGTATTGTCCAATAATTGTTTTTCAGTAAGGTTTCGAAAAGTTAACAAGTACATCAAAGCCATGCAATTACTCCAATCACCAATTAGTTTTCTTAACGATTTACTCAATATTGAATGAAACGTAATTAAGAATTTTCACATATTTAATTTAAATTTAATCAAAAAATTAATTATACTTGATTGTTTTATAATAAAAACAAAGCAGCTGAATGGATGATACGTATGTGTGTATTTTCTCAAAAAGAAATTACAGGTTTTCATTGGCAAATATTAATGTTTTTACAAGTAACTAAAATTTGGTATAAAAACATGTGAAGACATATGTGCTGTCTTCCATTTTTAAAATGGCTTTATATCCTTGTGTTCAATGTGATGAAGAATGTGTTGATTGCACAATTCAGTGCAGTAGTTGTGATCGTTGGGTTCACAGTGCTTGTGTCCCAATGAATGATTCAATGTTATCGACCTGGTCAGATGTGTCTCTAAAGTTCCTATGTAAGGACTGCTGCTTTACAGACAACAAGTACGACATGGCCAAATCCCTAGAAAGGTAAGTAATTTTATAAAGTATATTTTCAACATAATATTTATTAGAATGTATATGAAATATATAAAGAACAAATGTGAAATTGTACATATTTAATTTTAATGAAGACATTAATTTCACTTATTCGATTATATTTAACTTGTTTCTTATTTCATTTTCTTTGGCAATATACATTTGTATATTCAATTTACTTAATTTACTAAAAATTCTGAAATAAAAGTAAAGGAAAAAAAAATAATATTCTTAGTATTGACGTTTAATTATTTTTTTATTGCTATGTTCATCCATTTTAATACATTAAATTAAGTATAATAATGAAATATTTTTTGCCAATTAGATAATTTAATTGTGATAATGCCAAGTTCCCAATTATCAAAATATTTATTACCTTACAGTTCTATCATATTGTTAATTAGATTGTTGTTTACTGACACGTGCCCATTACATAATTACTCATTAAATGATAATGAAATTATATTACGGTATGGACACTTTGCATTAAACAGGCTTGTGACTGTCTTGGTATACCAAGGCTGCATTACCAAAACCAATAATAATAATTAAGAAAAAAGAACACAAATAAATATTTACAACTATATACAATATATGTACTTCCTAACTATATCTTCTGTAAAAGTGTAATAAGCTTTATTGTTTCACAACGAATTTTGACAATCATGACAATAATTTAGTGAATAAACATGATAAATATTGATTGGAAAAATAAGTCCATGAACAGCAAAAGGTGTTTTTAGATTTCAACGAGCAAAACAAAAGTATTCTAAATCATTCTTCGTAAAAAAAAGGTGAGCGAGTGGAACCACCTTGCTCGCACCAAAATTGAGATTGAGAGTGTCAAAACTGCTCTGGCGCACCATCAATAAATCAACGACACTCTCTCTACCGTGGTATTGAAACCAGCATTGGTAACCAAACATATTCATACAGATACAGACTACCATTCATGTACATTTAGGAAGTCTGAATAATACTGAAAACTGGTGTAGAATTTCCAACAGGACTCCTTATTTTATATAAGACAAGGAGTGGTTTATTTTCCCATGGTTGTTACATCATCTTGTCTTTGAATATGCTCGAAGTACAGGGACTTTTATGGAATTCATTGACATGATAGTCAAGCAAGATGTCAACATCTCGTCCAACCCTCTTCCAGCAAAGCCAAAGCTGACCAAGGATCTTCACCCTTTCAAAACAGGCTGTATACAGGACGAGTTATTCCAGTAGGAACAGGTACAAATCTTACAATCAATTTTCATTTGTTCCATATAGTCAATCTGAAATTAGGGGACCAACAATTGATACATTAGCTAGATTAAAAAAAGGAGGGGGTGGGTGTTGAAGGGGCATGTGAATATTCTTTTACACCTGACCTGTTTCTAAGACATCTTATTTATTTCCTATGGCAAAGTGCAAGCAAATAATATATATCCGTATATACATTGTTCTGTCTTGGGACCATTTGATTAAAAAAGCAAGGGGGATGGTTAGAATGGTTAAAATATTTATGTCCTTGTCAGCTTAGGACAGAATTTTAATTTTCAAGCTATTAACCAGGGTACAATATATATTTATTTTCTGCTTTAAAAAATCAATTTATAAACCAGAATCATGATAATAATAAAAATCTATTTCAACATATTCAACGGTTAGCAGGTCAGGTTTTTATTCTCTTCCCCTAAGTTATATTTTCAGTTCTTACTGGAATTTGTTCAGCTCTTTGTCTACTAAAAAAACTTTTATCTCGTGGAAAAACCTCCTACAAATACATGTTTTACATACAACATACTGTACATGTAACACTAGACAACTTTATCCAGAGAATAATATTTTTTTAATGAACTAATAGGCCATGGAGACTAAAAAAATCTAAAGCATTGCAAACTTTTGTAAAGTTCAATTTTAGGACCCTACATGTACATGTATGTAGATTACTTATATATAGAGCCCTTTTTAAAAGAAAAAAAAACATACATTTAATCTACATGCACAGTGATGCTACACTACCCTACATTTCCTGTCTGATATATTTTATTTCATGTAAAACAAAATTGAAGAATTATTTTATAGTTTAACACTTTTTATTTGTAGGGCTATATATATATGCAAGCAATGCTCAATTAAGATGAATTTTTGTAAAAGTGACAATAGCCAGGTCAAACTAAATACATGTATAGAAGAAGATATTGGTAAGTTATATTAACTTATATATTAATTTAACTGTTTGTATAACATGGTAATCATACAAAGTATATGTAATCACTTATATAATTAAATAACATAATTATACAATTACATGTTATACATTTGTACATCAGTTTTATTAAACAGGTCTTTGTTAACTTGGTTTTCCCATTGAAAAATCACTTTGCTAATTTTAATTTGTAGTACTATATTGGGTGGCTCCTATAGTTTCCATTCAATAACTAACAATGACTAATGAACTGTTCATACATTCCATTTCAATTATTTTATTTATTAATACGTATTACTTTTACTGTTAAGTCTGTTTTTTTGTGATATCCATTTTACGTGACTCTGTATTTATGTATCCCGTCATACTTTGAACGACAAAATTATTTTATGCCTACCTGTGCGAATTTCAAACGCGCGATTTTACGCCAGTACTTAAAACCTTCCATCCTTTATGGGTGGATTTTACATAGATATATAAAATCGTATAATATAAGCAAAATGAGGATGTTTAATTTGATGTATGCCTTTTTGTGCTTCTTCGTTACATTTGTTTGTTTTTATAGTGATTAAGATGATAACACAATGTTGACTGCTGTACCCCTATTTTTGACAATTTTACCTATTGTGTCTGTTTGTTTTGTTCACGCATCGTTGTCAATATAATGGAATTTGATGCGACTGTCATACATGTACAAGTGAGAGGTTTATTATCTAGCTATAAAACCAGGTTCAATCCACCATTTTCTACATAAGAAAATGCCTGTACCAAGTCAGGAATATGACAGTTGTTATCCATTCGTTTGATGTGTTTGAACTTTTGATTTTTGCCATTTGATTGGGGACTTTCCTTTTTGAATTTTCCTTGGAGTTCAGTATTTTTGTGATTTTACTTTTTCAAATATAAAAGGGGGAGATTTTTATTGGTACTTTTGAAGATATTTCACCTGTTCGATTTATTGATTGGTTGTTGGTAATGCCAATGTCCAATGGCAAATAGTTCATGCATGTTTAGGACAAGAACAAATTAAAATAAATACATTATTTGGGTTCTTAATATGCTAAATCTAACAATGTATTTAAATAATTTAAGATGTTGCAATTGGGCCCCATTTTAAATTGGTTCACATTGATTTCAAAATGGTCCAAAATTTTTTTTCTTATTTCTACACAACTTGAATTCTTGAGGATCTTTTGATATACAAAATGCAAATGTTTTATATTTAGATTTTTAATTTTGGTCCGGTTTTCAAATTTGTCCACATTTTAAAGTCCAAAGGGTCCAAATTTTAACTTAGTTTAATTTTAACAAAACTTGAACTCTAATTACAATGAATTAGGGTTCTTTGAATGATAAATACATGAAATAGAAATAATCAAATATCCTGAATATAAATATGTACTTAGATTTATGATTTTGGTCCCAGTTTTCAAGTTGGTTCAAATGGGGTCCATAATTTAACTGTGTTTGATTTCAACAATAATTAAGTCTCCCAAACGAAGTTTGGGAAGACTTATTGTTTTTGCTCAGTTCTTATTATTCTTCTTCTTCTTCTTCTTCTTCTTCTTCTTCTTCTTCTTCTTCTTCTTCTTCTTCTTCTTCTTCTTCTTCTTTTTCTTCTTCTTCTTCTTCTTCTTCTTCTTCTTCTTCTTCTTCTTCCGCCGCTTTTAAATTTGAACTTGTCCGCACCCATTCTCCAAAACCGCTTGTCAGATTAACTTAGGGTTTCACAATATGTTAGACTAACATGTCTAGTGGTGCAATCAGGGTTTTGTTTGTGCAATGGGGTTTAAAAAGGGGTACTTTGAGGGGCAAAAAGAAAAGAGGGTTTTACTATAGAACCCTATGGGATTTTATTTTTTTAAATTTTCAAATGATTATAAATTGAAAACCGTTTGTGATAAACACAATCTTTTTAATTGAAAATGTTCTAAATGATAAAGCCCATTAAATGAAATACAGGGTTAGTCCCCAGGGGTCACCCCCACCCCCTGCCATTTAAGAAAGTTCTAATACCTTGTAAGTGGTCAAGATCCCCACCCCTAAACCATATATATTCTTGTTTGTCATGCTAAGATGGTTTGAATGATATACAGGGTTAGTCCCCAGGGGTCATCCCGACCCCCTGCCATTTGAGAAAGTTCTAATATCTTGTAAATGGTCGAGATCCCCACCCCTAAACCATATATATTCTGGTTTGTCATGATAAAGCACATCAAATGAAATACAAGGTTAGTCCCCAGGGGTCACCCCCACCCCCTGCCATTTAAGAAAGTTCTAATATCTTCTAAGTGGTCAAGATCCCCACCCCTAAACCATATATATTCTGGTTTGTCATGCTAAGATGGTTTGAATGATATACAGGGTTAGTCCCCAGGGGTCATCCTGACCCTGAGCCATTTGAGAAAGTTCTAATATCTTGTAAATGGTCGAGATCCCCACCCCTAAACCATATATATTCTGGTTTGTCATGATAAAGCACATCAAATGAAATACAGGGTTAGTCCCCTGGGGTCACCCCACCCCCTGCCATTTAAGAAAGTTCTAATATCTTCTAAGTGGTCAAGATCCCCACCCCTAAACCATATATATTCTGGTTTGTCATGCTAAGATGGTTTGAATGATATACAGGGTTAGTCCCCAGGGGTCATCCCGACCCCCTGTCATTTGTGAAAGTTCTAATATCTTGTAAATGGTCGAGATCCCCACCCCTAAACCATATATATTCTGGTTTGTCATGATAAAGCACATCAAATGTTATACAGGGTTAGTCCCCAGGGGTCACCCCCACCCCCTGCCATTTAAGAAAGTTCTAATATCTTCTAAGTGGTCAAGATCCTAACCCCTAAACCATATATATTCTGGTTTGTCATGCTAAGATGGTTTGAATGATATACAGGGTTAGTCCCCAGGGGTCATCCCGACCCCCTGCCATTTGAGAAAGTTCTAATATCTTGTAAATGGTCGAGATCCCCACCCCTAAACCATATATATTCTGGTTTGTCATGCCAAGATGATTTGAATGATATACAAGGTTAGTCCCCAGGCATCACTAATGCATATAACTTTACTGGACCAAACCAATTATCACTGGACGTTGCCCAATGTCAGGCGACCCTGGGAATTACGAATTATGGGAGCTTCGTTTGGGAGACTTCGTAACAGCATCCTGTTACAATCATTTCTTGTTTTAAAGATGCTGATTCAGCCTGAATCTAACCTGTAGTTAGTTTTTGAGCCTTATTATGAAATTGGTTTACATTGAGGTCCAAAGGGTCCAAAATTAATCTAAATTTTAAATCTTAATTTGATCTTGAGGTTCTCTGATATGCTGAATCTATTAAACTTTATCTTTATATCATATTTATTCTGTGTTAGAAACCTATTCTTTGTCAAATATTTAACCCCTTTTCAAATTTAGAGCTGTTATAGCTTGAATGTTCTGTCCAAACTTGCATTTCTTCTTCATCTTCCACAAAATTTGTCCTTTTCTGAGGTAACTGGTGTTATCTTTTTATAAAACTTTAGTGAAAAGAAAAGCACAATATGTGGATGATTATCTGATGTCAAACATTTTCAAGATGGCCACCAAGGATGGCACAAATTTCAACACTGGTTAATTTAATGAAAATTGTTAATTAGGGATAGTCGTGGTAGTTTGACTTGCTAAACAAAGTAAGGTTGTTTTTTCTTCCAAAATGGCAAACATTTTCAAGATGGCTTTATATGAAAATTGACATTAAGGAATTATAGCACTTTTGACATGCCAACAAAACAATGAAATTTTTTTTTTAAAGATGGACACAGCAAATAAAGGGTAAAATTTTCAATTTTGTTGAGTTTGATTTTAAAGAATATTGATATTTAGCTGTACTTTGACACAGAGAACAGATATAAAGATGGTCACCATTTCAAAGATTGTCACTAAAAGCGGTCAAATTATCACCATTGTCTGTTTTCAATGTAAAATATATTGAGAGGTAATTTGACATGCCAAACCAAATGGAGGCAATTTTTATTGTTGTAAAGATGTTAAGGGCTATTTGGACCTGCTTAAAAGGAGTGGATAATAACTATTCTGCAAAAATGATTTGGCTTTAGTTGGGAGAATTTTGTAACTGCATCCACTTACAGTAAAAGTTGTCAATTTTATTTCCTGTCAGTGGTATATATGAAATTAAAAAAAAATGTGGTATGATTGCCAATAAGAACAAATGACATAGAAGTAAAGCTATAGGTCTTCATATGCCATATGGCCTTCAACAATGAGCAAGACCTATACTGCATATATATCCAGCCATAAAAGGGCCCAAAATAAGAAAATGAAAAAATATGAAAACTAACAGCCTGATTTATGTATGTATGTTTTGTGGTTTTCAGATCTAGACTCGCAGCTAACCTTTCTGTCAGTGTCAACAACAACTGAACTTTCACAGCAGTCAACATCAGATTGGGAGACTGATAATGCTTCTAACAGAAACAATTTCAACCAACCAAACAAGCAACAGAAACTTTCCAACTTTAAAACAACAGTTAAATCTTCCATGGGATGATGTCTCAAAAAATAACAGTTCATCATTCATGGAGATTTTAATGTTGTGGTTTTTCTTTTACAAGAAAGTTAGTGTACACTTGTTTTATAGTAAAACCTATAGCCGTTCAAGTATAAAAAAACACATTCAACTTTATTGAAATTTGAAGATTCATATGACTTATTTTAATTCTGTTATCTCCGAGGATGTGATGTAGAGCATTATAGGTACAGTAATCTTAACAGCTATCCAATTTCATTCAAAATTCTTTATAAATTTTGCACTGGTATATATAGACTAAGTAATTTGTTTTTCGTCTAGTCATGGGGTTTTTTTTTAGAAGCATTTATGATTTTCATGTTTGTATTGACCACATTGCAGCAACATAGATATAGGTACCTGGCAAATCTTGCCTTGTTAGCATACTAGGCTCAAAGGGTCATAAAAAAATTTCCATCACTAAGTGTCTGTTTACAGTTTTCACTTTTAAACCATCATCTTAATAACTTTAGAAGAAGTGTCATACATATATATATGTATACAAAATTTAAAAACTTTTTAATATATATATTGATAAAAACTATCAACATGACAAGATCTAAATACCCAAAATGTTTCTGAAAAATTGGACATAACATCTATGAGCTATTGTCCCTGAAATGTGTAAATTTATTAATTTTCACAGTTTTCTGCTACCATCCGACAACTATATCAATACATTATAAGAATAAATTGCAAAAGTGGTCAGAAGAAACTTTTTTTTTACAGTCTGAACTTATTCTGAATTGTTTAACTGCTAATTTAAATTGATTGCGTTTGAAATATGTGGTTTTTATCGTTTTAGGTGCACAATTTGTCAATACGATCTATTTCGGCTCCTGGGAGCCTCTAGATTTATAATGAATATTTTTTATTTATGTATGATTATTTTCTTAATGTATTAAATGAAACATTAATTATTCTTTTCCATTTGTTGTTATACTTATTTATAAGTCCAGATCCTATCATATGTCAGTAGTTACAAATTAGACGGCAAAATTGAGAAAATTTGAATATGCAGGTTACTCCATTTTGTTGTGGCATATACCAGACACCAACATTATTTGCCGAGCTTGATATTTTTTTTGATTGGGTATATATAGTTATACTTTGCAAGTAGATATGTTGTTTTACAATAATAAACGGGTCTTGGAGTATTTTGGCTCTGAAAGATGACCAAAATCAGCCATTTTGGACATGTAGCTAAATAAGACATATTGAAATAGTTAGATTATACATACACTTAATAGACATTATTGTTTATTCTATGCATTCTTACACTTAAAGTGATGTATTACTAGGAACAACTATCAAAAAATTATAAATGTTACCATATTTTTTTATTTAAACCAGCGAAATATGCCAAAAAAGGCTTATTTTTGCTGTTTTCGAGCAATTTCATCTGTTAAAACATGGCGCTCAAAAAATATCCAGATCGGTTCAATATTTTCCCAAAAAAATTTGTGTGGTTATTTACATTACTAAGGTGCACCAATATGCCAAATATGAACTCATTTGGAAAAAGTGACATTCGGACGGTTTTGCATGGTTTTCTGGCAGATTGGCTCTTAACAAATAGTACCACCAATGTCCGTTTAATGAAGTATATTTATATTCCGCCATCTATATCAATCTCAACAACAAAAAATCAAAATAAATCTCTGGTGTTGTTTCTTTTTCTTTGACTAATGGGAGTGTTTCCTTCTTTTCTTGGTATTATCTGTTTTTCTTTAAATTACGGTTTTATTTCCTCCTTTGTATTTTCCTACTTTTTAGCTCACCGGGGCCCGAAGGGCCCCATGTGAGCTTATGCTATCACTTGGCGTCCGTCGTCGTCCGTCGTCTGTCGTCGTCCGTCGTCTGTCGTCGTCTGTCGTCGTAAACTTTTTCAAAAATCTTCTCCTCTGAAACTACTGGGCCAAATACCGTCAAACTTTAACTAAATGTTCCTTAGGGTATCTAGTTTATAAAATGTATCCGAAGTTTATAAAATGTATCCGAAGGACAATCATGGCCGCCATGGCTAAAAATAGAATATAGGGGTCAAATGCAGTTTTTGGCTTATATCTCAAAAACTAAAGCTTTAAGAGCAAATCTGACATGAGGTAAAATTGTTCAATTGGTCAAGATCTATCAGATCTGAAATTTTCAGTCGAATCGAACAACCCATTGTTGGGTTGCTGCCACCGAATTGGTAGTTTTAACAAAATTTTGCAGTTTTTTGTTATTATTTTGAGTATTATTATAGACATATATATATAAACTGTAAGCAGCAATAATGTTCAGCAAAGTAAGATCCACAAAAAAGTTAATATGACCAAAATTGTCAATTGACCCTTTAAGGAGCTATTGCCCTTTAAAGACAATTTTACACAATTTGTTCATCAAGTTAGCTAACATTTAAAAATCTTCTCCTCTGAAACTACTGGGCCAATTACCTTCAAACTTTAACTTAATGTTCCTTAGGGTATCTTGTTTATAAATTGTATTCGAAGTTTGTATCCATTGACAAACATGGCCGCCATGGCTAAAAATAGAACATAAGGGTCAAATACAGTTTTTGGCTTATATCTCAAAAACTAAAGCTTTTAGAGCAAATGTGACGGAGTAAAATTGTTTAATTGGTCAAGATCTATTGGCCCTAAATTTTCAGACGAATCGAACAACCCATTGTTTGGTTGCTGCCACCGAATTGGTAGTTTTAACAAAATTTTGCAGTTTTTTTTTATTATTTTGAATATTATTATAGATATATATAAACTGTAAGCAGCAATAATGTTCAGCAAAGTAAGATCTACAAAAAAGTTAATATGACCAAAATTGTCAATTGACCCTTTAAGGAGCTATTGCCCTTTAAAGACAATTTTACATAATTTGTTCATCAAGTTAGCTAACATTTAAAAATCTTATCCTCTGAAACTACTGGGCCAATTACCTTCAAACTTTAACTAAATGGATTTAGGGTATCTTGTTTATAAATTGTATCCGAAGTTTGTATCCATCGACAAACATGGCCGCCATGGCTAAAAATAGAACATAAGGGTCAAATGCAGTTTTTGGCTTATATCTCAAAAACTAAAGCTTTTAGAGCAAATGTGACGGGGTAAAATTGTTTAATTGGTCAAGATCTATTGGCTCTGAAATTGTCAGACGAATCGAACAACCCATTGTTGGGTTGCTGCCACCGAATTGGTAGTTTTAACAAAATTTTGCCGTTTTTTGTTATTATTTTGAATATTATTATAGATATATATAAACTGTAAGCAGCAATAATGTTCAGCAAAGTAAGATCTACAAAAAAGTTAATATGACCAAAATTGTCAATTGACCCTTTAAGGAGCTATTGCCCTTTAAAGACAATTTTACACAATTTGTTCATCAAGTTTGCTAACATTTAAAAATCTTCTCCTCTGAAATATACAGGTGAGCGATTCAGGCTATTGAGAGCCTCTTGTTTCACATATAATTGTCGGGATTTTCAGTATTATTACGTGAGAGATCTCCGAAGCTGAGATTCACTGCGGAGCTATGGTTGATTGATTACCTTGAAATAGTAACTAGTGCGGCATGATAATACATAACCATGAAGAAATGAAATACTCACGGAGTTTTAATAAATGTCAGTGTGACATTAACCAAAGGAAATTTGTTATCTGGAATACAAAGATTATAACATTTACCATGTTTACAGTACTAAGTAAACTGCACTTGATGCTCATTTCATTAATGTCTCGTCGATGATGGCGACCGCCAAATGTTTTAAAGCTCAAAACCACTATCGTATTTTCATCCCATTACCTTATTACTGGAAACGTGGCTAATTTTACCTTCGATGACAGTCTACCAGCAGATTTGTCGACTTAGTGGTAGTAATATCATGAACTGAACCAGATGAGCATCTCCATTTTTTTTTATCTGTGATGCTCGTTACCAAACCATTTTAAAATCAAAAACCTAATACAAATGTTGAATAGGTAAATAAACCAAGAATAAGAATACATCTAAGGCAACACCAGAACACAAGGAATCAAATTCCTTAACTTAAAAGTTATTGGATATACATTCCTTAATTTAGAATTACCGTAACACTTAAGATAAATGTAAGTGATTCTATTCATTTTCATAGATTTGCTGCCTAAGATCAAAACGACTGTGTATTTGTTATTTTACATTTTTGTTTTACGTATTTACAACCATACGCAGCGATTTTTAGTACTGGAATATTTTTGAAATATAGGGTTGATGTGTTTTTACCTGTAACTGGTGCCCTGGAGTGCATTTCGAAAGCAATATGTCTCATCGATGTTAAAGATCCGACTTTGAGTGATATATCTAGAAATGAAATAAATCAAGATGTATTTTAAAGACATATGCTCTAAAATATAAAACATATGTCAAATTTGAGATTTCTGCATAAAATAAGGCAATACGTTTATGTGTACAACTTACGAAAAAGCAAACTAATAAGACTTCCAATGCTCACAAAATACAAAGGGCACTGTTCTCACTTTGAACAAACATAACCTCGATGATACAATATACAAGAATCACAATGTCTCGTTAAATAGTCTTAGCTTTTACAAATTGCAAGACTTTTGTTGAGAAGGGCATTCACTGTATGCCGGAATGAAAACAATGTCAAAAACTATCTAAAACAGCAAATGTTTATTAAATTTTCATATCCTGAAAGATCTTTTTCCTTCATTAACTATTGCTTAAAATTCCATAAACGGTTCAATGCTATGTTTTCTTATAAGACTATTTTCAAGCACATTTTAGAAAACATCGTTTTTTTTCAAGATGTCGATTACCAAACATCAATCAATACAACGCTAATTATTATAAACAAAATCTGCAAGATCACAAGAAGAAGGGCAAGTGCTATCAAGGTGAATATTCTATGTGAATACAGTTTACATGTAACTTTAATAGAACATTTATGTGTTTAAACAACTTACACAGACTGTTATTCAATAAGGGTGTAACTTCTTCTAAGAATTGACAATGTTGA